TATCAATGTCCTAAGCTTGTTCTTCAATTAAAACTTATCTGACGATTGAAAAATTAGCCTTTATACAGATAATGAACTGTCTCGGTATTCTCAATGTTATTTCACTTTTCAATAAATCAGAGATACAGATCATTTTCAATACTAATCTGATTCATTCGATTCCAAGATTATATTTTTTTCTTGGCATGGACTAAACGTGTTAGGCATTGTCACACGGGTTATCAGGTAAAATTAACCGGAGGCGATTATAAATGTCATCAGCTGTCATCTTATAATACAAATAGGCATACAAATGCTTTATTCTATCGCATCACAATACGTATTTCACAATCGGGAGAGATTTACCGACACATTTTGTGCCAAGAACGCGGGAATTGGAACGCGTTGGATCCGACTTACCGGTCGATAAATATATGCTGTGTGAAATTATGGGAAATGTAATTATAATTTAGGTTTAGTCTAGTTTATTAGACCGAATGTGATGATATTTTATGTTATTAACCAGCCAGACGTATTTACTATGCCGATAAATAGAAGAGATTATCCAATAGTTATGGATGCGAGGTGCCAATACTTAAATATCAGTATTTAACTGCATTTTTAAACCCAAAAGTTCATGTACAGTCGCGGAATGAAAAGGTTCGTCACCTTAGTGTCGGTTTTTGCTTGCACTAGGTACTGTAAGAGTCAAACCTGCCAACATAACCGCGCAAGAAACATTGCTTCTAACATTTAAATAAATACATATGACGTTTGTTTGTTTATTTTTCTATCCCATCAGTGCAATGTTACAAAATGTAGTTTTTTTTATTTAATAGATAATGGCAGGTTGAACCAACAAGAAGGTTTTAGTTTATCAATCATAATAATCTTCTTGACAAGTTAAATCGTCAAACAACTTTGATCTGAATAATTTTGAACTTTACTGACAAACAGTTTAAGATTATTTTCTCTAACCCGAGATTATTCTGTAACATAGTTTCAAAAGGTAATATGGTGCTCGCGATTCGTTGAAGGAATCAAGAATCTTTTCATTCCGTGACTGTACAATCTACCAGTTTATCAAATAATACAGTTATGACAAAATATTTCATATTATGCAGTTTACATACCAAACCTGCCGAGTGCCGACCCGTCGACATGAGTCGTTCGTCAACTATTGACATGTCAAAAGTCATAGAAAGTATGTCGTCGGCATGTTTCTTTTGAAATAAAGCCGCCGGGCTGTCGGCGGGTCCTTTAGATTCTCACATAAATGACACAAAATATTGAGATGCATCTTTATTCATATACATATTATCAAGTCGATCAGCAAGTTTTAAGGCAAAAACACTACTATCAGTCGCATTTCCAATAATTATACCCTTTCAAGTTCATTCACTCGAACGTTGTCTCCGATCCTTCAATTCCCAAAGTCCTCATTCCTTTTGTTTCAAACGCTCGTTCACTCGCTATCGTCTCGAAAAAAGATTAAAAAGGTTTCACCACATTGAACGAAGACACAGAAATATCACTGACTGTATAATGTGAAAGAATATAGTAATTTTTTGGGAAATGTTAGAAGTATGTAAGTAAAAGTACTTTTAATCAGTAGTGAACGTCATTTGGCTGAAACAAACGAAAGAAATAACAAAAGATTTAGCCGCTATAAAAAAAAAATTGCCTGCCAGACATAACTTTTTAAATGGAACTGTTTTTGACAGTTGCAGTATGAGTCTGTACTACGGTTGATAAACGCTCAGTGACACCGAGCTCCTGGAGTATGGACCCATTGGTACGGAACTCCTTGGTATGGTAGTACAGTCGCGCATACTGCAATACTTCGGACATGTCTCGAGGCGGGATGATAACTCCATAGAACGACTGGTCGTGCAGGGAAAAGTCGAAGGAACCCGATCGCGTGGCAGGTCACCAATGCGCTGGACCGACCAAGTGAAAGCAGCAGTGGGACACGGCTTATGTGACTGCACCAGACAGTCTGCCAATAGAGAGAGATGGAGGGAGATCGTGCGGAGAGTTGTATCCGCCTCTACAACCGATGTGAACAACGCCTCAACGTGACCACGACCGCTCTGCCAAGAGCGTAACGAATAAGAAGAAGAAGTATGAGTCTTGTGACTTCGCAATTCAACCATGCTGCCTACTTGCTAATCGATGCCGCTAAAGATGGAAATTTGCAAAAAAATGCACAAAACAATCAGCATGTGTAGCCTAAAGATACCAAGAAGAGAACGGGAATGGGCATTCTCTTACGTCGATACATTCTAGAGTGCGATTCTCGAATCTCAGCTATCGTAGATGCTGTGAAACAGTTTTTGAAAGTTGCAGTATTGTGACTGTAATTCGACCATGTGGCCTACTTGCTAACCGATACCACTAGAGATGAAAATTGTTTAAAACACATAATGTGTAGCCTAAAGACATCAAGAGGAAGAGACCGGGAATGGGTATTCTATTCCCACCTCTTTTATGTCGATAGCTCTAGAGAGCGATTCCCGACATCTCGGCCATCGTAGAGCATTCGTTTTGTACTACGAGTTTAATTGACGACTTGTTGCATGTTCAACCGTGGACCTATGTAACATTCGATAGCGAACTTATTAGAACTTTGTGAAGTACTAATATATTTTGTGCTCAATCCAGTTTTAAGGATTGCTGTTAGCTCAGAAAAGACGCTATTGATCACTTAACCCTTCAAGCTCGAGAAAATAGATAAATCAATTGTTACGGGGTCATTTGATTTTCTTAGAGATTGGTGGGTTAAGGCGGCGAATGTTTGCAAATAAACAGGAGTGACAGGCCACTTATTGTCTGGAAAAATTTCATAATTTCATCTTCCAGATCATGGACCTATAAAAAAAGGCGGACGGAACTCGCGCTACAACAAAACTGTGACGCAAAATTTTAGCGTTTGTCTATTGTGTGAGTGAATTTAGGAATGCCATGTTAGCCAAAACATTTTACCCATTTATTTTAAGAAAAACATAGATCGGCAGATGTTACTTGGAAATGTAGACAGAATTATTCCGTGCCATTTTAAAAGGATGAAAGGTGTATGCGTTGAGGTAGGCGCGAAATTTTCAATGTTCAAATTTTCTTACATTGTTTGCAAGTCAGTGTGTCAGGGTATGTACATAATGTTGATCAAAAATGATTCACGCAGTTACAAATTACGAATCTTGTGTACATTATAATCATAATCTTATGCATCATCTCTTATGATATTATTATTATCTCTGATAGATTTTTTTTAACATACAACCTGACACTGACTTGCAATCAATGTAAGAAAATTTGAATTTCGCAGTTCCACATTTTTGGGAAGGATCAAATTTGCCTATGATAATAATAAAAGATTAATTATAAAGTTTGTCGTAATTTCATTGTTAAACCTAACAACGTGTCGTGATGTCGCTTATTGTGTTTCAGTTTGTTCGTTGATTACAGCTATGATGTGCAAAATTACATATGCGTTAGTTTAATCCATATTCATAGTGGCGTATAATATTTTAAAAGAAAGTTGTTATAACAGTAGGAAAAGTAATTTAGTAGATTCGTATTTTTATTAATCAGGATATTATAGTTATTATCAGTACACTGCCTACGCATGTAATACAAATTGGGTAAGTTTATTTCACTATATTTTATGCATGATTATTTACATGTTTTCATTAGCCATGTTTCATCACGTTTGTTTCGAAGCATGATCATTCACCGTAGTATTGTCATGCATGCGTTGCACGGTTGTGGCGTCATGTGCATGGAACACTGAACGTCTTAATTTATTAGGGCAACACGTTTTCAGTTTTAAGTAGTAGAATTCGTTTATGAATGCGCACAAATCGCGAGTTCTTCAATTTGTGTGTATTTGTGAATTGAGGTTCGTGAGCTTTAAAATATTCCCCCTGGGAATGTTATGTATGTTACTTATTTTCTGTCATTACCATGTTTAATATAAAATGTTGCGTTGTCAGAGGGCTTGATTTGTGTTATTTGCCTTGCAGTTTTGGTAACAGAAGTGTTAATTATCAGCTAAAGCTAGCTGGTACCAAATGCCCTCATTCTGAATGGCCATTTTTACCGATATGTGAAATCTATAGTTCAGTTCAATAAAGTCATTGTAATCATGGAGGTGAAAGATTTTTGTTATGTTGTATGTTGTGTAAACGTAACGTTACTAAAAAAGTAACATCTGTAAATACACTAATCATTGTATTGCTCAATAGATTGTGAAAAATTCGCTACTTGTTCAACTTATTTGATATTTTAATGTTTTTCGTGGTCAGTATGCATCGCATCACATCTAGCAAAAGTAGTGTGCATGCTTTCATACAAAATAATTATCAATAGTAATGGTCGGTATGGCTTTCCACATTTTAATAAGTCTGTCTATCACAGTGGTTCTCTTAACCTTTAAGTCATGTGGGACCATTTTACCAAATTTCTGTCTTTTCAGGGACCACCTCATAATCGGTCAAAACCAGTTTGACTGCAAAAATCAGTTAAGTGGTTTTGACCAAGGTGTGCGATTGCACATCGTGGACCACTTGGAATGCCTTCAGGGACCACCAGTGGTCCGCGGACCACCGGTTAAGAACCACTGGTCTATCATCAAAAGTAACATGTCGCAAACCAAATTACTGCCTCGACAAATCTAACTACGAACAAATAGCGAAATTTTCACCAAGCAAAACACAATACAGATATAGATGACCCACGCTGAACTGTCCCACCAAACTCAATGACAGGGGGGCGCTACCATCGTTCAACTATATGGTTTCCAACATGGCAAAAATCTGAACCAGCGATCCGGTATTGACGGTGGCGCCCCACTGTCAATGTCATCGACAGGACAGTCCAGTATTTTGGAACTATACAAACCTAACCGTGCTTGTGTTGACAGCGAGCAAGGCGCAGGCGCCGCCGCCGCCGCTGAAGGTGCCCCTGGAGGGTTGGTCGGGCACCTCGAGCGCGTGCTAGCGAGCGCGGGGGGCGCCCGCCGCCCCCGCCCCCTCGGCCCGCGTGGCCCCGCCCCCTCCACACGTGGCCACGCCCTCTCCACACGTGGCCCACACAGCGCACCTCGCCCCGCAAACACACCCTGCCCACGCCCTACTCTCCGTAGCCCACGCGCTCCTCGGCCCGGCCAGCGCAATCGCCAATCCGACCGCCGAAAAAACCCTCGACGTGCTCCCGATAGACGAGCTCACGATGCCCGCCGATGACGTCAGCGACCTGCGCGACGTCGTCGACGCGATCAACCGACTCTGCGACACGATGAAGACTTCACATTACGACGAGGTCAGTGACGACTTTGAGAGCGCGACCTCTGACGAGTTACTCGTTGAGGCTTCGAATATGTTAGTTTCGAATCATGCCCCCGAATCGCGATCCGTGGAAACCACGGATGCGTTCGTTTCGAACTACTTTTCGGAACTGCAGCAGGAGGAAACGTCGGATTTGTTCGTTTCCAGTTACTTTTTGGAACCGCAACCCGCGGAAACTTCGGATGTACTACTTTCCAACTACGCCTCCGAGCAGATAGAAGTTATGGACGTCGCTTCTATAGTGAGCCCCGAGGAGGTCTCGATACGGACGGTAGATCCTTCCGAGCGCTGGAGCGACTCACTCCTGTCTCTGCCTCTAGAAACTATCGCGTCTGATATTGAGCCGGCCGCCCAGTGTGAACCTATCAGTGAAATGTACTATACGGCATCCTCAGAGGTGTCGCTGCTGTCCGACGAGGCCCCTGAAAAGGTTATTCCGGACCAGGAATCTTTTGACGGGAAGGAGGAATCTAAAGATGGGAAGGAATGCGTGATCGCCGGTCACGTGGCAGCTATGAGGGAACGATTCGAAAGCATGACGCGAACGAATACGCCATGTCCGGACCTCATGAGGTCCTCTTCGCCTTCTCTCGACGTCTTCAGAAACATCACGCCGTCGCCGGATCGGTTAGGATAATATTAATAGTTGGGTACTACTTGGTCGTTCAGACTACACGGTCCAGGTCAACTTGCTACCATGCGGCCGCTCACATTACAAAAGAGCGTAAACATTGCTTTGGCTTAGCGGATAATAATCTATGTTGCATTCTGGCCTGGTCTGAAAGTCTGGCGATTCTGGTCAGCCTTTGTTAGGCGACTAGTTAGTGATCAATTTTTATAACCTCTTTAAAGTATTCAGTACTCGTATCGTGTATTTATCGGTTGCTAGTCCTCGTGTGACACCATTATAGAAACTAACGTGCCAAGAGTTTCACACTTAGAGAAACGGTTGTGATTATTTTTGTAGCTTCATCGTATTGCAATTTTGAGTGCATCCACATCGGCAACCTCGTAAATGGAAAGTCCTTCCACTTCTTCGGGTGAATATGTATATCGGCAAGTAGTGCCAAGTCAATGAGTTTGCGGACGAGTAACTAAAAAGAATTACACTGGTCAACAGTGGTTTTGGTGCCAAGGAACTGTATATATTTTTTGATTGAGGACCTTATGCTGGTTGCTTTAGTAGCAAATTTGTTGATTTCCTACGTGTGGTTTTCTAGATTTTGACGTGTATAGAAAAATACAAAATTTCACCAAAATCAGCGTTTATAATATATTGAAATGCTTAAAAACTTTATTTTCCACAACTTTTGTGAATGAGGTGTAATGGAACTATCACGTTACATCCTCCAGCAGTAATCAGCCATCATATAGCTATCCCATCTGCCTTGGTACCTCTCTTCCAATGGTTTTTAGGTCTTGATAGCATCGCTCTCCCTGTTCTTAGCTATAGCATGCTATAGTGACCCAAGATTCTCTGGGAATTGGTCAAGATGACTGTGGAGGTAGTGCCCTTTGATGAAAATTATTACATCCTGAGTTTTTAGGGCATGTCTCACAATTTCATAGTAGTCACTAGTCCTGTGATTTCCGAAAAAAATTTTAGTAACTTCAACGAACGAAGTCCACGTAAATCGTTCCAAACGTCCATAAAACTTAAGAAATCAGTATCTTTTATTAATATTCTTATTTGTGGGCCCTCAAAAATTTACTGCTTTAACCTTTTTTTATGCTCAAACCAGGATTTTTTTTTGTTTTTTCCTCACTTTTTCCACTCTGAACTTCATGTTAGGGTAATTTTCCCACGTAAATAACTGAGAACACTGGTCTTTGACGTATTATTTTTTCGAGTGAATGACGTTTGATTTCAATTAATTTCAATATTTTAATGTCGGGAAATAAGTGATTGGATTATTATTTTGCCTGTGAAATGTGATTCCTTAATTTTTGTTTGTTCGAACAGAACGGTTTTTACACAATTTCATCACACAAGACATGTCGTATTCGTGTTGTTTTTTCGCTGCTTAAATGTGTCAACTGTGTGAAGTTTGCACTCGAAGTGGTGTAACAGGGTGTGAATGTGTGCGTGCCGGCCTGTACGTACAGGCAAGCTGGTGTATCCTAATGTCACAGTATTTTGTTGATGAGAATCCGTCCGACTTTTTTTATAGGTCCATGTTCCAGATACAGTCCGTTCTTTTATTAAAATACCACTGAACTTTCTAAAAAATAATGAGACGAAATAATATCTTAATTGGTACCGCAGTCTCATGGAACTACTTAGGCTGAGTTGCACCACCTAATTTTAACGGTAACTATGACGATAACCGGTGCATTTTGTATGGAGTTTGACAGATTTTTGACGTTTGTCAAAGTCAAAATAAGATGGTGCAACCTAGCCTAAGGGTTCCACGAGTTAAATAAATAACGCTCATATTAATTTTTATAGAAGATCCTCTATGCTCCAACTAAGCAAATGCCAAATTACGAGTCCCATGCTCACTCCTAAAACATATATTCTCAAGTTACGACATTTTTCTCCGCACTGAAAGCGGACCGATGTCGCACTAGAGTGGACTCGTTACGCGTAAGTGGACAAAACAATAAAATGCCCCTACCTCACTAAACAACCGTATAACACGTGATCTAAATTCTAAGTTGGATTCAATACATTACGTTTTCACGTTAATGTTTTATAGTGCTGTCGATTTTATGTATTTCTGTCACTTACGCCCGTATTCACAAACATTACTATGAGATCTCACAGTGCACGTAGACGCACAGGGTCACACGCAAACCAATCACAGAGCTCTATTTAACGCTGTGCGTTCGATTTTCTGATCACAGAATTAAATAAATTTACTTTTTAGAAGATACAGTGGAGCGGAGTATGAATTAAAAAGAGAATATCCAAGAATCAACGCTTTTCTTTTCATTTCCTTGTCATATTTGAAGACATTAATATTTATTACTCTGCCTATTTATCATTCGTCTGTACGTCTCTTGGAGTTCGAAATACGAGATAATTATAATAATATTTCAGAAAAAATAACGGAATTAATTTTAAAAATAACGAAAAATAAATTCTAAATTCGAAAAAATCGTTTCCAATATCCCGGATTTGCAGCGACAGCAGACAATGGTCTGCGTTCAATAGTTCCGAGTCGACAAGTTTAATCAGGTCGTGCGTCCCTCGGGCAGCCAGCGATTATCTAAGAGTAGGCGCACACCGTTGATTTTTCGTCGGCCGATAGTTTAGTCGAGCAGTTGATCAGTATGGGCATGTATGGGAGTGCGCACACTACGCCGATTCGATTTGGCCGATTCTTCATACAATTTAAAATCGGGCACAACTGGCACAACTGTCGGCCAACTAAAAATCAACGGTGTGCGCCTACTCTAAAACTGCGCTTGTCTCCGCTCCAATCCGTCCGCATCGATCGAGAATGACTACTATGATCTGTAAATAGGCTGTGCTGAACGGAGATACTATTTTTTTCTTTTGAGGAATCCTAAAGTTTATCCCACCAAAAACATTCTGTAAAAACTAGCCAAGTCTCGATGGAGCTGCTTGTTTATCTCTAAAAAGTAATGAAATCTAGACAAAGTCGTGCCAAGTCTATGGTTCCTTACTGCGATTTCTTTATTAATATAGTTAATGTTGTGTGACTTGGCCGTTGAAGGGTACAAAACCAGGTGCTCCATGACACCATTGCACCAATCTATCGCCAGAACCGCTACCCATTGACAATGGATAATTGCCACTTGGAAAGCGTTGATTCAATGACCAGTCAATTGTTGTTTTACATATTAAAATAAGGGTTAAGAAAATTGGCATAGTAATGACAAAATTCTCTCTATCCAGAGAAACTTATTTAATTTCTTTAATAAAGTTGGCAGTAGTAGGTAATTAAGACATACAAACTATAGCAGGTACGTTAATAATAAGAGAAAACAACAAAATTAATTATTAACAAAACAATACACCGAACTAAATTAACAAAACGTTCATCTCAAGTTACTCTCTCTCTCTCTCTGGCTAATTATTAATTAATTACAAAGAGAATAAAATTAGTCCTCGTCATGAGCGTGTAACGGAATGAAATAGAATTGCTAATGCAAAGATAATTTAGCTTTGGGTGTATGTTTTGAAACAGAATTTTTCTATTGCTTTTTACAGTATTAAATTAGGAGCATTTTAATACAAAAGTTAGTTACGGTAGGTTAAATAACGCGATATCACACAACATAACTAGGTTTAGAGCCTGAGGTTGAGACTTGAGAGCGGCACGGGAGTTTTTGTTATGTCAAATGTCAGGAGTTATTCGTCAACTCGCACCTAACCTATAACTACTCCGTATAGTTAGTGGTGAGGCACAAAACGTGGAAGTCAAAAACCGCAAAAATTTAAAAATAGAATGCAGCAAAAAGAAAATCATTGGCCGCAAACGTAACAGCTGAAAAAAGAAACAAAAGTACACTCATTCAAACCACCCCGCTTCTCTAGATTCAAAAGTGGAACGCGCGGAGAGGGGTGTTGCGTGCCAGTTCCACGGCACAATCGTACTCGAGATGAAAACCATCGATAAAGCGTAGCGAGTCGGAACCTTTTATTCGATTCAAACGAGAGATCTCCAACTTTACGAATTTGAAAATGGAATGACGGTGAGGACCGTCGCAAAGTGTCGCTTCGACTGAGTTACGGCTCGAAATGGACACTTGAAAAGTTTAAATTCGTTAATTTTAGATTAAAAAGACTACGAGTTTTTCACGACTCGTCATTAAAATAGTATTCAACGAGTTTGAGCATATTATTATATCAAAAGCATTTGTTTTAGATTCGAATCAATTCTTCAGTGAGCTGATTCTTATATTCACTCCTCTTTACATTCGTTCATTTCAGCCAAATGACGTCCACTGCTGGACAAAGGCCTCCCCCAAGGATTTCCACAACGACCAGTTCTGCGCCGACCGCATCCAGGCACCTCCCGCGACCACCTCTTTTATGATTAAAGAAACTTTCAATAAAAGTAAAGTGTTCAACCATTTTGTTTCAATACCTGATCAAAGCGCGGTTTACACAGCTCGAGTTTCTCAGTGAGCTCTAGCGGAAAATTGATTAAAAATTGCACAGCAAGTATAAACAATCCCTAAGGGAATTCCCGGCACGCCACCGAGCACCGCCCGTTTCGATATTTTAAAAATAAAGCGAACAAATGACGGCGCTGAAATAGATTCTTTGCGAGTGCCATAGAGTAAGGAAAAGTGAAATAGAATCTTCATTCGATATTTAAATTTAAAAAATCCCCGTTCCAGAATCACTTTACCCGTTAGTTAGATTGCTCGTGATGAGTTATACAATAAAAAATATGCTCGACTGTAGGTACATCGTTTTGGATTAAAATATTTTCTTTTCGACCTATGAGGATAAAATTATATTTCTACAACATACAATTAGTTCCCCTTAATTGAATATTACTTAATGGAAGTATCCGCTTACTAAGAAATAACATTTATCTTTAATAGGTTCCAAAATCACAGAATTTAATTTATATATTGAAACATTTTGTATTTCGTAATATAAATATTTTAAAACTCATTACGTTCTCTGTCGTTGTTTTTTGTATAATTAATTACACAAAGGAATTTTATGTATCAAAAGAACGTTAATTTGGTCTAATATAAGTGGGTAAACATGACGCCTACGCAAAAATAAAAATTCATGGACTTATTTTCATAAAAGCTGACATACACAAAACTTTTATAGGAAAAACCTTTATTGTTTTAGTATAGAGAAAAGTTTAGCCAACAGCATTGTTTAGGTACAGGGGCTTTGATATATTATATCAAAATAGGATGAATGAGAGTGAACGAAAATAACGCCCGTATTCACAAACAATACTATGAAGTCTCACAGTGCACGTGGACCCACAGGTGACGCACGAATCAATCACAGAGCTCTATTCAACGCTATGCATTCGATTTGCTGCTTCACTTAAGCAAGCATCGTTTGTTAATACGGGCGTATCACTCCGACAATCGTGAAAAACTCTTTTTAAAACAAGCGACGACTCTATTTCAAATATTGTTACGTCAAATAGAACACGTTCGTTTTGAAATTGGA